TACATTTCCTATTGTATAATTGTTGAACTTCCATTTACCTAGCCATAGTGCCTCAGTTTTATCTTTGTTCATCTTTAAACCTGATATAAGCGAAAATTCATCAACAAGATTCAAGACGCTCTTGAAGGAGTTGACATCTCTTACAAAAATGGTGGTGTCATCTGCATATTGCAGAATTTTGACCTCATCATGTGGCAAGCGTACCCCATTAATGTTTTTATCATGCCTTACTTTGCAAGAAAAAAGCTCTGCCGCTATAATATACAGGAGCGGAGATAGGGGGCACCCCTGCTTTATACCTCGCTCTAATAAAATTTCACCACTTAACCAACCATTGTAATTAATGTAACTAATACAATTATTGTTTAAAGTTTTGGTCCATTGTATAAAGGATTGCCCAAATCCAAAAATTGATAGGGAATCATACATGAATTCTTTAGAAATACTATCGTACGCTTTAATGCAATCTATTGCCAAAAGAATACCATGCTCTTGCTCATCATCAAGATAATTTATTACATCATCAATAGTTCTCAATATTAGGCTACTCGATCTTTGGGGAATGTATCCACATTGATCTTCATGTACAATTTTCGCCACAACAACTTTTAACCTATTGGCTAACACCTTGGCTGCTATCTTGTAATCAACATTTGTTAAAGTGAGGGGTCTCCAGTTTTTTAGAACATTTCGAGGCAAGTTTTTCTTAGGGAGTAAAGTTATAAGACCTTCGCGCTGGGTACAAGATAAAAAACCCTTATTGTATCCATCATTCAGTGACAGAGTTACAAAAACACATATTTTAGACCAAAACACTTTATAAAATGCTGCAGTTAAACCATCCAGACCTGGGCTAGAATTGTTTTTCATTGTTTTTAAGGCAAATATACAATCTTCATTAGTAATCAAGCCATCACAAAAATCAGAGTCAGATTTATCTAACTTAGGAACTGGAACATCCTTTAAAAAATCATCTAAAATAGCCCTTCTATAAATCTTACGATCTGAATACAATTCTTGATAAAATTTCACTTGTTCTTTTATGATAACATTTTGATCATTAGTCAATGTACCATTGGATAATTTTAAAGATGTCATAACTTTACTTTTCATTCTTGCAGTTTCTAATTGTAAAAAATATTTATTACTCCTTTCCCCTTTTTCTGCCCACACAGCCTTAGAACGTACAAAGGAGCCATGTGTTTTAGAAGCAGAGAGGAGATCAAACTGTGCCCTAGCTTGATTCACATTTTGATTAAACTGAACATTACTAGGATCATAACATAACTTTTTACAGGCATTTGTCAACTTTACTCGTGCAGAAAATAATTGGTCTCTGTTATCTTTAGCAAGTTGTTTACCATAACCAATAGAATAGGATTTGATTTTTGATTTTAAGCAATCCCATTTTATCTGAGGGTCAACATTTGCCTGTGCCTGTGCATCATCAATTATCTTGTTTACATTATTTAAATACTCTGAGTGCTGTAAAAAACTGTTATTTAATTTCCAGTAAGAAGGACCCTTGTTCTTCTTAGAGGAATCCAAGCACATCAAATAGCCCCTATGGTCTGAGTTGGGAATACTTAAAATTTCAATATTAGTCACCTTGTTAAAACAAAGATCATTTGTAAAAACATAATCTATACGACGCAAAATAGGTTTATTCTTATGCTTCCAAGTATATTCCTTCTCATTTGCATGAAACAATCGCCATACATCACAAAAATCTAATGAGCTATGCATATTATTGAAACCTGTAATCTCAGCCTGAATGTGTTTTTTACCCCCAAGATTATCCAATGCTGGATTTAATACACAATTCATATCACCAGCTAAAATCAAATTAATATCATCAGTTACATAGTATTTCTGTACAGTTTGAGTTATTTCAGTGTAAAAATGTATCTTATCAGCATTGTTACTTGGAGCATATACATTGAAACATAGATACTGCTCACTGTCATGTTTAAATTTTACACCAAATAATCGATCGTCTTTGTGACATATTTCAAAATCTACAATATCAAAAGACTTGTTCACTATAATTAATTCACCTCTACTATGTGGAGTGCCACAGTTTGCATATATTTTAGATCCCCAATCAATACTCCACTCTTCAATAAGTTGTTCTGTTATATAACTTTCTTGCACAAAAGCTAAGTCACACTTGTTTTCTTTTAAAAACTGAAAAAAAGTATGACGGGTCAATTTCCGACGTAGTCCTTGAACATTTCCACTAAAGATCGTTACCATAATTATCTAAAGGTTAATGCATAATACATATTAACCATTATCACTTAAGTTATCGACTTTGTTTCTTTTATCCTCCACACTTTCAGCTAAAGGGCTGACTAAGTCACGTGACCTTTTTTTGACAAACACATGTTTGTCCAATGTTTTTTGATTTGGAGTTAGAGGTGGTTTTGATTTTTTCTTAGAGTTTTTTTTCACTTTTGTACGTTTGCCAACAATATCACTATCGTCACATGAGAGCTGAGAATCACAGCTTTTAACAGAATCATGATCCAAACTAAATTGCTGTGATCCACAGTTCAATATGTCACCACTACCACAGGGATTGGATTTGGCTGGTTCACAATTAGATATAATCTGAGGTGACCCCTCATTGGTTGGAGCATCGATAGGCTTCACACTATCTGGAGGTGATGTGCTACTTAATATATTATGAGATGGCCCCTCATTCGTTTGAACGTCATTAGACTTCACACAAGCTGGAGGTGACGTGATACTTGATGGCTCTTGATTATGGGCAGATAAGAAAACATCAACCTTATCAAGCAGTTTTTCCTCAAGGATCTGCACATCATCGGATGAGTCTTGCATCGCAAGATCTAGAAGCTCACTGACAAGCTTTGGGGCAGATATACCAACATTTTCCTGTATCTCTACGTCTGAGGTTGTGGAATCAGAAGGCTTATTGTGCAAATGGGATTTTTGACAATCCTGAGAGTTTCTTTTGTGACCGGGGACACCACAATCCCAACATAGCTGGGGGGGTTTATCCCTGGAATAAGGGCAGTCCATATGAAAGTGTTAATATGGTGATTAATATGTGACCATGGCGTGTTATCTTCCGACCTTTTTGGCCACTCGGCGTCGGTACGTTACGTTATGTTTAGTTGCAGTTTTATGAATTTTAATAATCTCAAGGAGTTCATGGAGAGATCTATACTAGCAAGATGACTTTCAAAATTTATGCTATAGGGTGTTCCGAAAGTATGGGCCCCCTAGGCAGACATATACCAATGTCTCCATAGTATGTGTCATATATCATTTTAAAGCTCATCCAAAGTTATATTAATTTGCCGAGTATCATGGTTCAACTCACAAATGGAAAAAGTTACAGGAATACAAAAGTTAGTGTTTGGCCAAAATTAAAGTCAGTTTTATACCAAAACAATAGTCGGTGTGTCTCCTTAGCCGCCATGTTAACAGCAGCAATACTTTCCATATATGACCTTAAACAGGCTTCAAATAGGGATATGGCGTTTTGTAATCCTCATGAAACCTTTTTAAGGCATAAGAAGAGTTTCCTTGGAGTATCTCCCCTAAACGTCATCTTTTTAGAACTCAATAGCCATCCTATCTTCGAGAATGGCATCCATATTTTCTGTCACAGGGTCAGGGCTGTTTCTAGGATACTGAAATGAATCTTTTTGACAAAACGCTAATTTTTGAAATGCCTGTTACTTTTTACCATTTGAACCATCATATTTGGCAAATCAATGTAACTTTGGATAAGCTTAAAAATGATATATGACACATACTATGGAGACATTGGTATATGTCTGCCTCGGGAGGGGGGCATACTTTGGGACACTGTATATCTGGAAAGTGCAGAAGTTCAAAAGTCAGGTATGGAACACAAAAAAAAAATTAGTAACATTGACATTTAATCATATCAATGACAATTTTATGGATTAACGGAAAAAATAATATATTGGGGTAAATATATCTGATATGCCTATTAAATATTATTACTTTATTATCAAATATGTTCCTTCTATTACACGTACATTATAGCATTTCATTCACTGTAAAATTAACTGTGAATTGAGATCTGTAAGGCCAATGTGACAACATACATTCGAGTTGACAACATACATTATCTTTTTTTCGTAGTAGCATCCAAAGTAAAAAGCGGTTTTGCATTAACTCTGAATGTATCTTTGTATACTTATCTTAAGTTGTGTTAGTCGTAGTTTGGCTGTTATTTGCATAGCAAAACAAAAATTAGAGAGAATTTTGAGAAATTCAGTCAAGATTTAGAGATCCCTGGCGTGCTGGGTAGATCTATAACAAGATATTGAAGTTGCTGAGGATCATTTAAAGTAGATATGCATATTTGCAACTTAATTACAAATCGAATGCAACAACTACCTGATGATGAACTGACACAATATTGATCAAATCAATGCTAGTTCTTTCCTCGCTTCCTCATTCTAGAAAATGGCGATCTAAAATGGCGGAAATGACATAGTACATCAAAAGTGTACTACGGTAAATTTTGTCAATGTCACGTGACTGTACCTTGTCGATGGTCAGGCGTGATAGTTCATGATTAAACTACATCTCTGGTCAGAAATATTCCAAGGTACATCTCTTTTATCTGAATGAAGTATCTATGATATTTTATTATGGTCTACATCAACATGTATTTCTATACAATTAATAGTATTGACTACATGCTTGACATGATGTAGAGTTTAGGATTCACAAAAGTTGATCTTCCAGGACTTTTAATTGTCAATTTATACAACAACGAAAGTTGTATTGGTGGTAGTGGGGTAGCGACTAAAAATAAGTTTTAATTTAAAAAATATTACCCTTGGTTTTTAAAATAAATAAATTGGCTCCACTATTTGAAATATGAGCCTCACTTCAAGAATTAGGCATAACTTTTCAAAAAGGTCCATAGTTATAAAACTGAATTTGACAAAAGCCTGAATACCAAGAATCAAGTTTGAAATATTCTTATGTCAACGGAAAGGCCAAGAAATAGATGAACGTTTTGGCGAGAAAAGGCGCGAGAACCTCGAAACCCTAGGCTCAGTTAAACGACCTCAATCAGCAAAGAACACTGTAAACGGCAAACTTAATAGAAATGCTCGAGGTCTAAAGGGTGTCGCATATGAAAAAGCCCAAACTCTATATCTTGAGAGCATCGAAGTTGAAGCCGATGATAGTGATGATGATATCGAGAATCTAGTGAAGGAACATGTGAAATATCTCGGCATACGCATTATGAAATTATATGTCGTTCGTAACCGTTACTCGGAGTACAGAGTAGGTGTAAAACTGATTGTGCCCGAAACATCAGTAACCAAAGCAATGGACCCGGATGTGTGGCCGCATCCAATCACATGCCGTAGATGGGAGCGCAGATCGAATTCTTATGGACGAAGAATCCCAAGTCACGTCACATATAGATCCAGACAGCGACAGATAGATGAAGACGACTTCCCTCCTTACGACAATGAATCGAACGACGGAAATGACTCTGATTTCCACAAAAACCTATGCGAAGCAACAAGAGACTACGTTAACAGAAACTTCAACCTGAGAGCAACAGGTTACAATCAGCGGTAGATCAGATCTTATCGTTAAGTTAACTTTTTAAGAATGACAACATTTATTCTTCTTTTAACTGGTCTTTTCCTCCTTACAGCAATGGCCAATTTAAATGCTAATTATGTAACACCAAATAGTTTAACAATTTCGTCATGGAATGTAAACGGTTTAAGTTCGTCCAATGTACAATTACGCCATCTTTCTGAATGCTCTGACATTGTTTGTATAAATGAACACTGGTTGTATGAAGGTGCTCTAAACGAGCTAAGTAACATAAACTCTGACTTTAATTTCACTGCAGCTAGCAGCAGAACATTAGATCCTTTGGATCAAGGGCATGTTATAGGCAACGGTGGTGTTGGCATTATATGGCGGAAGTCACTGAATCACTGCATAGTTCCTGTGTCTAAGTATAAATCTGACCGTCTCATCGTAATTAAGGTAATGCAACCTCCATTCTCAAGCCTGTACGTAATATGTTGTTACCTGCCTCACTCGCAATGCAAGAATGCAAACTTCCTTGAGGTTTTAGATCAACTTGAAACAATTGTCGACGAGGCAACAAACGATAACAGCAACTGTGTAGTGATTGGTGACATGAACGCCGATTTAGGTAATTCCATAGGGACACGGGGTAATGGTGATCCCTCTCACAACGGCACAATGTTGTTAAATATGTGCAGAAGAAACGGTCTCATTCCAATAGACATGTTTCCAATTTGCAAAGGGCCTAATTATACGTTTTATAGGGATTATACAGGCGAATCATATATAGATCATGTTTTAATCTCCGAGTGTATCAAACCTAAATGTATTAGTGTAAACGTTATAGATGAGTGCTTAACCAATATGTCAGATCATCTCCCAATTCAAATTAAGCTAGATGTCCAATGCCAAAACAAAAGTGAGATATTTAACTCAAGCACACCCTCTAGCCCCGCATGGAACAAAGTAACTGACGAGCAAAAAGCTAAATACAGACAAGTTTTAGGGTCCGAATTAAAGATTATAGAAAGCCAAATAGGAGACAATTGCGACATAGACGACGAATTACTAGAGTCACTCTTTGATAAGATAACGGTCATTATAAAAAAGGTTACAGAGCTCACAATACCCATGAGAAAATTTAACAAGCATTTGAAACCATATTGGACAGTTGTACTTAAGGGAGTCATGAAACAAAAGAGAACAACCTGGAACGAATGGAAACGCCATGGAAAACCAAGATCACAGGACAACCCATACTGGAGAGAATACAAAAATGCTAAAAGGGAGTTTCGAAGGGAAATACGCAAAGCACAAAACGACTACGAATTAAAGTGCCAAAGGGAAATTGACGATGCCGCAGATCTCTCACTGAACAAGTTCTGGTATCTTATCAAAAAGCGCCGAAGATCACCGCAGAGTTCAGCCCTAATCAGAAATGGTAAAGGGGAGGTTCTAACTGAACCAACAGATGTCCTAAATGAGTGGAAACAATACTTTGAACACCTTGTATCCGACAAGATTAATCCTGAGTTCGATAATGACTTTTTATTGAAGATAAGATCGGAGGTTATGACCATGAAAACAGAAAGCTGGAGAAATGATGATGGTGCCTTTAACGACCCAATTACATGCGATGAGATGAAAAAGGTAATATCAAAGTTAAAAATCGGCAAAGCTCCTGGATGGGACATGATCACGCCCGAGCACCTGAAGTATGGCGGGGACGGTCTCAATAGCATTTTGACAAAATTGTATAATGCATTAATTGTAAAAGAGTACGTTCCAGAGAGCTTCAAGTTAGGAATCCTCATTCCGCTCTTTAAGGGAGGAAACAAAGATATCCTGTCAAAAGACGACCATAGAGGCATTACTTTAATGACTATGTACATGAAGGTCTTAGAAAGGATTATGATGAGCAGAAGCCAAAAATGTAAACGCATTGACCGACCATGTAATATGCAAGGAGTTAATGTCCCAAAATGTTCGAGCCTCCACACCTCCCTGATAACTAGAGAAGCGATATCCTCCGGATTGGAAAACGGAAGTGACGTCATTATTGCGTCTATGGACATCCGTAAAGCTTTCGATGGGGTGTGGCACGAAGGACTCTACCATAAACTGTACAGACAAGGAATCAATGGAAAGCTCTGGAGATTACTTATCAAGTGCTACGATGGATACACATGTGCAGTAAAACTAAACATAGGCCAAACGTATCAAACCGATCACGTAACAGCAAATGCAGATGGTGATAAAGGCATCATGAGCAATTCGTCCATGACAGAAGCAATGCATCACTTCCTCAATTGTAATACAAATGTGTCAAAGCCGTTCCCAGTCCAGCAGGGAGTACACCAAGGAGGGGTTTGGTCCATGGATCTCTACGCCAGATACACTAACGAGCTTTTGAATGAAATATGTGACACCAACAAAGGGTGCTCCATAGGTAACATTGTCTGCACATGTCCTACGTTTGCTGACGACATGAACCTATTGGCATATCATCCCAAAACAATGCAGGCACTTTTAAATCACGTCTACAGTTACAGTCTCAAATGGAGATTCACCTTTCATCCTAATAAATGCAAGATCACAACATTTACAAATAACGCAACACAGAAACGACTGACTCTTAAACTTGGACACCACAATATCCCGGTAACTACGAATATCGAACATGTAGGACTCCCACTAACACAAAGTACATCAAACAAGGAATTTATCGATACACGAATCTCAAAAGGCAGAAGGGCGATGATAGCGTATATCGGAACAACCACAAGCAATAACAATCCCACAAATCCCCTGACAGCATCCAAACTCTACTGGTCAATCTGTGTACCAACCATGACGTATGGATTGAACCTTCTCCCTTTGAAAGACACTGACTATGATAGAATGGAGACTGCACATCGGAATATTGCGAAAAAATTACAAGGCTTACCACAAAGTACGAGGAACCCAGCCTGTATACAACAGCTAGGATGGTCTGACTTAACGTCTAAAATTGTCGTTGACAAAATGATGCTTATCTGGCAACTTTTAACACTGCCCATAAATAACATATACAAAGTCATCGCTATAACACGAATAATATGCCACAGGTCTCGTGCACTATCTAGCATATCGCCGATAGGAAATTGTTTGAAAGTCGCCGAGAATCTTGGAATCCAAAACCAAATATATGATATCATAGATACTGGAATCATACCATCCAAAACAGTATGGAAAAGGAACATTAGATCAATAATGTACGACAAAGCACTCTGGAGTTGGAGACTAAAATGTATGATGTACACAAACATTCATTTATACAAGAGTGTTGTGGAATTTCAAAAGCCCAACCTATGGTGGGAAATCGCATCTCATAATAGTCAACTAGTCAAGATATGCAAAACAATGATGCTACTCCTCACGGGAGAGGGAAATTTGAATGCAAACACATCTAATTGGGGAACGTCATATGACAAGCACAGTAGAAGTTTATGCAACGCATGTAAGTCTGAGACTGAAACACTAGAACATCTAATTCTTAATTGTGACGCACATTCACAAATGAGAGATATAATCCAAAAAGAGTTAAACGCAAATAGTATCCCCGAAAACTGCTCAAATGAGATCAAATTAGCAATCATTTTTGGGAAAGATAAACTATTAAAGATAGATAGCTATGTAACGATATCTAAGACGATTTATGCAATGTACACTAGTAACGATAGGATGATACTCTGAAAATAAACCCAATGATTGTAAATACTGGTAGAATGAACATAACTTTTGTCATATGGCACTATTAGAACTAAATCAGACGTAATGTTGGGGCAGCGGTAGCACCTCAATAAGCTGACTGATATGATCTGATCGCACTATTTTATTCAAACACCTTTGTATATAGTGTATAATATGTTTTATTTTTGTTATTTATTATCATTGTAATATATTAAAAGTATGTACTCTCCAATATTAGGAGGCAATAAAGATACATAACATAAAGGCCCTGTGAAAAGTTTGAAAATACATTTAATCATTTGAATATTACAGAGTTAATTTACTGTATTTTTATGGGAATCTCCCTCCCATAAAATTTTTGTGTTTCTGTAAAAATGACTAAGTTAATGTATCATATTTTCCCGTAAAATGGCCTTAAATTATTACATAAAATAAACATTTATTTTCCTCTTTAAAATCCATTTTAAAGTTTTGACTTAGCCCATGTTTCCCCAGACTGACAGTGGTCTGGGGAAACTTAGATACTAGACTATGTCTCCCAGATTGCATGACTTGATTTTGTTCTTAACAGGAGATGCCTGAACATATGGGCGAAGTCAAAACTCCCAAAACTATTTCCAATGAGGTTTCCCCAGACCACTGTCAGTTGATTATGTGACAGATAGAGTGAATTCCCCAGAAATACAGCAATCTATATTAATTAAAGGTTGGCAGAACATTTTTTGAAAAACGTGATTTTGAAATTATTGCTGAACAATGTAAGTGTGTGATAAATAAAATTGTATTTGAAATAAATTCACAATTTTTCAGTCAAAAAGTCCTTCAAAATCAACTTTGGAATTAAATTGAAGTTTCACACAGTACATTTTGATAACATTGGGAAGGACTATAATATAATTAGCCAAAGTGGTTTAAACTTTATAGGGGGCCTTTGATTATCAGATGTGCCATTCATATAGTCTACTTGTCAAATGATAAGATATTGTATTGGCCTGAATATTTCAGTATAGTAGGTTTAAACATGCTTTTTATCAGCGTTGGAGATACATGTAGTAGAAATAAAATTACATTTTCTAAAATAGGTTAATAATCAAAAATCTGGTTGACATGTTAGGTTTTTCAAAGAGGGCAGTTATTTTATTTTGCCTGACTCCTGTCACACTACAGCTCTGTGGAGGCCACCTCAGGCAATTGTTGTCAGAAGTGTGATTTGCCTTTGTGTAAATTCAGGATGACAACAGGCCGTTGTCCTTCAGGGAATGGTATAAAATTTTTGTGTTTCTGTAAAAATGACTAAGTTAATGTATCATATTTTCCCGTAAAATGGCCTTAAATTATTACATAAAATAAACATTTATTTTCCTCTTTAAAATCCATTTTAAAGTTTTGACTTAGCCCATGTTTCCCCAGACTGACAGTGGTCTGGGGAAACTTAGATACTAGACTATGTCTCCCAGATTGCATGACTTGATTTTGTTCTTAACAGGAGATGCCTGAACATATGGGCGAAGTCAAAACTCCCAAAACTATTTCCAATGAGGTTTCCCCAGACCACTGTCAGTTGATTATGTGACAGATAGAGTGAATTCCCCAGAAATACAGCAATCTATATTAATTAAAGGTTGGCAGAACATTTTTTGAAAAACGTGATTTTGAAATTATTGCTGAACAATGTAAGTGTGTGATAAATAAAATTGTATTTGAAATAAATTCACAATTTTTCAGTCAAAAAGTCCTTCAAAATCAACTTTGGAATTAAATTGAAGTTTCACACAGTACATTTTGATAACATTGGGAAGGACTATAATATAATTAGCCAAAGTGGTTTAAACTTTATAGGGGGCCTTTGATTATCAGATGTGCCATTCATATAGTCTACTTGTCAAATGATAAGATATTGTATTGGCCTGAATATTTCAGTATAGTAGGTTTAAACATGCTTTTTATCAGCGTTGGAGATACATGTAGTAGAAATAAAATTACATTTTCTAAAATAGGTTAATAATCAAAAATCTGGTTGACATGTTAGGTTTTTCAAAGAGGGCAGTTATTTTATTTTGCCTGACTCCTGTCACACTACAGCTCTGTGGAGGCCACCTCAGGCAATTGTTGTCAGAAGTGTGATTTGCCTTTGTGTAAATTCAGGATGACAACAGGCCGTTGTCCTTCAGGGAATGGTATAGCAAGTTGCTAATACAGTTTAGCTGTGGTGACTTAAATCTTTATGGCTCAGTGGTAACCTACCAAACTTCTGAACCAGAGGGTCCTGGGTTCAATTCCGTATTGGTGACCTATTGTTATAATCTCCAACTTTTTTGTGGATCAGGGCAACATTTGGCTTAACATCTTCTCTCTATTTTCTTAAAATGTATGGATAAACTATCAATTTCAGAATTAAGAAGTGTAAATTCAGTACTTCTAGATTTTTAAAATCCACCACGTTTCAAGAGGAATGTCAGCTGAAATAATGTTCATCCAGGGGATTTCTTTGGAGATAATAAAAATATATGTTAGTCTTGATGGAATATCCAAACTTAAATATATTTTGACGCTGGACCATGATCTCTGCATAGCATTGTTGCACCTTTAATGACTTGTTTTTATTTTTGTTTCCTTCATTTTTGAACCACAACACATTTTTTTATATCTCTATGTAGGACAGCAAGTCATATTTATTACATTGTTTTTAAAATATAGGTAAAACGTTTATATGTTCCTTTAAATGATTTAATACCAATATTTAACTGATGTGTGAATCTATTTTTGCTTCCAGGGAAGATGATGAAGATGAAGAAGAAAAGGCCAAAAGACCAAGATCTGTTCTCACAATGTTTAGCGAAAAAACTGAACCACAATTAAAAAGACACAAATATTTCAAAGATAATTGTTTAAAAAATGTGGACAGTTTTTAACAATAGTAGTAATTAAAAATAGTTTAATTGGCTGACTGGCAACGATAGGATATGGGAAAAACAGTATAGGTCTCCACTGACTGTTTAGTGACAATAGATGTCAGAATGAATTTTTTTCATTGGTATTATTGAAGATCTTCCAAGTACACAGGAAAATTACATCGGACCCCGTACAAGCCCATACGGAGCTTATTGAGTCAACAGGCCCTGTACAACATTTTACGGGCCTCGTTACGAGTCTCGTAATTGCTTGTAATTTTAAAGCCTCCTAAGGGCTTGTAATTACAAGGCCTGTAATAGCTCGAAATTTTCGACCCCCGTTCTTGACCGTACAGTGCCCGTAACGAGCCCCATAATAAATCGTAATTTTCAATCCCAGTACTTGCTTGTACAGTGCCTGTTACAAGGCCCGTAATAGCTCGTAATTTTCAAGCCTTGTACTTGCCTGTGCGATGCCCGCAACAAGGCCCGTAATTTTCGAGCACAGTACTTGTCCGTATGGGGCTTGTAACGAGACTCGTAATTGCTCGTTTATTTTTATGAACATTTTTTGATCGATGAAATAAATTACAGCATACTTGAGAAATTACATTTTAATTAAATCTAATTATGAATATATTATTATGTCTTCAATAATTTAAAAATATTCAAATGTCTGTATGAAAATGATAAACAGTATAAAAGCTAGGAAACAAAATAAACAGGAGGTTTACCAATAGGAGACATCATATTTCTCTACAAGTGAAGTAAAGGCATATAAAAACACTTGTGTAAGGTATTGGAAAATGTTGAAATGTAATGTAGATAAACATATAGTTATCGAATGTATGAAAAATGCCTGAAATGTTTAAACATGCATGTTTTGACAGATAGATAAGTGAATGACGTGGAAAACAAGCCCGTACAACGATTTTTCCTCCTTTTGCCCGTAATTCTCAAGGCTCGCACGGGACCTGATGTAATTTGCTGGTGTACATGAATTGTAAAGTACAAAAGAATTTCATAAAAATTCATATTTCATGAATAGTCCAAATATTTGAGTTGCAGAATTCAGAGCATTACATGTACATGTATTGTTTTTGATTGTTGTGTATTTGAGAGGCATTTATATTCACTTTACAAATATAAGTTTGTGTTTTTTGTTATTTCCACCTTTAAGATGATTATATCAATTATTTAGGTTCCAAAAGTTACAACTTGTATAGAGAATATGTAAATAATAAACAAGGCATTAACATGACAAATCTAAAGTCAGATTTGAACTTCTGAGAACTTGAAGATGATTTTGAAAAAACAAATTGGTCAATTTGAAGCAAGTTGAAAAAGACCTTTTGGACCTTGAGAAGGTCATTGTTGACCTTGAAAATGTCGTTAAAGGTCAAATCTTTATTCAGATTTGAACTATTAGATGATTTTGAAAAAAATTGGTCAATTTGAAGCAAGTTGAAAAAAGTCCCTTTTTAACCTTTTTTTACCTTGAAAAGGTCATCAAAGGTCAAATCTGAATTCTAAAGTCAGATTTGAACTTCTGAAAATTTGAAGATAATTTTGAAAAAATGGTTGATTTGAAGCAAGTTGAAAAAAGTCCTTTTAAACCTTTTTTTGACCTTAAAAGGTCATCGAAGGTCAAATCTTAATTCTAGAGTTAGATTTAAACTTCTGAAAACTTGAAGATAATTTTGAAAAAATGGTTGATTTGAAGCAAGTTGAAAAAGTCCTTTTTAACCTTTTTAGCTTACATGGTGAGCTTTTGCAATCACTCACTTGTTTGACCTTGAAAGGTCATCAAAGGTCAAATCTTAATTCTAGAGTCAGATTTAAACTTCTGAAAACTTGTAGATGATTTTGAAAAAAAGTATTTTTTTTTATTCCAACTTATTTCATACATACATAATATAATTTCAACATACAGTTCTCATACCATTACATTTCGTAATCTTATTTCAAATTCAAATAGCGTTGGCAAATTGGGATGCTCACCATATTTAAATTTTGAGATGCACAATTTCGCTATTTGAATAACCAAGTTACAATAATTTTTTTTTTTTTTATTTTTGTTCGCATTTATTTATTTTGAAAAAAAGTCAGTCTAAACAGTATTTGTCAAGTTATTGGAAGTTGTAAGAAATTGTTACAGACACTGATCGCCAACCGCCGTCACAAAAAATGGAGACCATAACAATGTCACCACTTTATGGTTGGTGGTGACATAAAAATAAAGAATAGTTGTAAGACATCATTATAAAATGTGTATGCACCTACCATACCAAAAACATGTGAAAATGTGTGAAACACATGTAGGACTAGGAGACCAGAGAAATAGAATGAATACTGAAACTACAATCCAAAGATTTTGTTGATTTCAGCCTATACAAAACATTATATCTGAATGTAATTGTATTTTTGGTTGAATGAAGCAAAAACTGCATCCTCAAATAACTTCTTCTAACAATATGGAAGAACTTCCGGGCTTCGAATTCGGTAAGATGTTTTTATTTCTCGATTCTACACCACTATAAGTCAAGTTGTGGACAATAATCTGGCTCAAAGTTAAGGAAGATAGTCCCTCGCTTTTGTTACGTTGACGATCTTCATGCATATTGCCAATGTGACAATATTCAAGCCCGGAAGTTCTTCCATCTTGTTACGCTGACGTATGGTGAGTAGCAGTGATTTTTATTCGCTGTACATGTAACAGGTTAATGAGTCCAGGAATGGGTCAGGGTTTGAACTTTGACAAATCGAAAAAATTCAAAATCTGTAGTTTCAGTTATTGTAAATATAATTGTACTTATTGTTCTTATGAACGTCATTTTTGGTTGATGACTGAGGACTTGTGTCAATGGGTATTTAATGGATTATGATAAAACCTGCTCAATTTTTCTATTTCCATTGTGGTGTTGTGGGGATTTATTTCTTATGAATTGAAGGCGAGCACAAGTGTACGGTTTGAATTTTATCATTCATTTATGCCAGGGTCCAATGTGCTCATATCTTCAGCATCAGAGCCCTGCTGAGGAGTATTTTGTTCAAAACGGAATGCAATGTTGAACAAAATACTCATCAGCCGGGTGCCAGTACTAAATATAGGAGCAAATGTGACCATGTCACTAATAAGTTAACAGAACTAACAAAATCAGTCAAAAATTCAAACCAAAACTTGTGCCCTATGTAAACGGAAAACATTGTCAAATAATGGTCATCCTGAATCGCTTCATGGCGAGATACTTTTCTTTCTCTCCCTCTTTCGACTCTGATACTGGATCTGTTAATTTTTATAAAAACCTCTAAATCAATTTCAAGCATGATAACACAGAATATACTGTACAAACTAAAATATGCAAGTTTTACTTCTATTTATTCATATCAAAATCATCAGCCTCTCTGTATAACACATTAATAAAAACTGCGTCTGCCTGTACACACGTTACAATAAAGTTGTTGCCTCATGTTATGTGACCTAACAGAACTATGGAAGAATCAACAAGGACACATAGCAAAAGACACTCTGCTGCCTTCATGAAGAAATTAACAGCAGCCTGCTTCGTAACAGACTCTGTTTCTCCTCGACAATTGGCCCGGAGCGTTTGCAGTTTTATAATCTCCAGATTACCTCAACCCTCTACTGGCAACTATGTCCCCTGGTGCAAAGTCCCGCATGAACAGGACCAAAAACACCAGGGCCCATAATCCACAACTTCACAGTTCTCCACTCTGATAACTTTCATAGAATGTTCACAAACTGCTAGTACAAGACACAATTTAAAATTAACTTGAACGAAGACAGACTTCACCCTCTCGCCTGCCTTTCTCCAGGGCTCGCCTCAATCCCTCTCTCAGACAACTCTCAAACGGTCAGCTAACAATATGCTGATATGGGTGCTATCTAACACTAGCAGTAAATGAACATCAATTACATAGGATTATCTTACACCTTGTATTTAATAATTTGATTTTCAACCATCCCCCTCTCTTGCGCTACACATCTTCCGAAGATTGCATTGGCTTCCGACAGAACCAACAGTAGACATGTTGCCATTGTAGCAAGTTGTAACATCGCTACTATGCCAACACCAGCAATGACACAAATCGTGCTCTCTCATAGCACAGTGACTTGACAACTGAATGAATGATGATTGATTACAATGACTGCTCAATTAATGACCTGCCAGCCTACACATAATGCTGGTTTAACAAGTACATGTATTTGGCAATACTTGGTTGCTATCCTAACTCACAATCGATGACATATGTACAGATGAGATCACCTCAGGGTATTTCAAAATAATGCTGCATTTCAATAATAAACACATTATCTTGCGACTTCTAACACTTTGTGGTAACATAGCAACCATGAATGCCCCCATCCACTTAAAAAACGTCGTCTCTTCACAAAAACAAAAAATAATAAAAAATACTTCTTGAAAATTATACAAATATGGCATATGAAATTCATGAAAATATAAAAATACACCAACTTCTCTCAACTAATACGCCTCTCTCATCTGTGTTGCTATATAGTAAGTAATGCATATTTCAATATTTATATCACCTAGCTAATTCTGAGTCATACATTTCATGTTTATTTCAAGTATTTCAAATACCCGTATTATCAAATACTTCTTACTCCCTTGTCCTCGATTCACCTGAACACATTAAGTTATCTACTTATTTCATCACCTCAACATTCTCGTTTTGTTTCTCCATAACATATTAATACATCGTCTCTAGATCCTCAACGCCCACAATAAAATTCACTAAAGTACCACATAAAATTTGATGGTAGGAAGGCCCTACCAAAGCTGAGCCACCGACTTGACTTAGCTCACTGTTTCTCTGTTTGTCTCGTCCACTTTCTTCAACCAAGCTCCTCCACACATCGTCATGGCAACCCATGTTGCCACTCAAAACATAACAATGGGATACAGATCTGATATTCCCATTGAGAGTTTCGGGGTAGTATACATATATTTCTTATATATACTAAATCACAATATTATCTACATTCTTATATATCAGTATAATGACTAATAGTAAATAAACGGGAAGCAGCATTTAAAGATTACATTCCTTTAGAATCACTAATCGAATAACATCATGAATAAGTTCATAATATCTTTGAAGCAAAACAGCATGTGCTCGAGAAAAAATAAACTTTAAGTTAAGCAATTGTTACCATATTCTTTCATAAAATGAACAATAATTCAAATATTCAAGGAAACTGTTGAAAACATATTTACAATCCCATAATATGGAATCTGAACCTTTTCTCAATAGCTCTAAGAATTAACATGGTCCTTGGAAAAATTCACCATTAAAATAGGTTCACAATTAACAATTTTCTACTTGGTTTACACATTAAATGAATACAGGGTGTGTTAAATACCTCCCAATGGACTAATCTTTATATTCAGTAGTCCTATACGATTTATGAGAAATACCGAACACAACTCTGTTTGTTTAAGCTGAACTAAGCATCACAATGATACAAAAAACCTCATCCAATTGCCGTTAGAAAATTGTTGAATTCTAAAGAAAAAACAACACCTAATTAAAAATAATATAAAATGACCATTTTGGTTCGGAAATGTTAATAGCATAACAAGTACTCGTAATTCAAGTTCGAACCAACATGATTCTTTTAACAAAAAGTATGATGGCCTTAAACATATGGCTTAAGGGCCCTAATCCTTGTAAGAGCAGTTTACTCCTTAGATTCACAGTCTCTGGCTATATGCCCATACCCTCCACAAGAATAGCACTTGCTATCGTTACGACGGCCGCCTCCTCCACCCTGGGAGCAATCTTTTGCAATATGCCCGGTCTCTCCACATCTGGAAATAAGCAATAAGACACTTAACAACAGCAAAGCAAAGTGTAGCAAATCCCATCAAAGACATGGCTGGCATTTTTAAAATGGTTGCTCACTAGCCAAATTGTCATCAGAAAGTATAATATGCTTTGAAGTAGTCACATATAAAATTTTAACAAAATCGCAAATCAAATCTGAACAAAATCGCTCCACTACTACCCAAAATGTCATTAGACAGTGTGCCATGTTTATAGTATTCACATACCAAATATGAACAAAATCGCTCCACGACTTTTCAAGTTATAAAAATCGCAAAAATCGTAAAATGGTGTGTAAAGGCCACCATTTTTCAAGATGGCTGCCACATGCTTCTTAAATATTTACATTTCTAACTTTATTAATGTCCTTTATAATTTTTTTACGTTTAAAACATTGCAAATACAGTTTTATATATTGCACCTAAATTACTGTAAAAATCTGCACCAAAATATTGAAAATTGGCTTTCGAGCAGAACTTCTACCCCCATAGGGTATGAGTGTACAAAATATGAACAAAATCAGGCCAACAGTATTTGAGTTATCGCCCAGAGAGACGGACGCACGAAACAGAGAGGTTCCCTATATCCCTCCTAACTTTGTTTGATGGGATAATAAACAAAGTGCTTGTAATAGTTACCACCAGCTACCCAATTTGGGTCAGATAGCATGGCAGCCATTAAAAAGTTCTAAAAAATTTTCTATTCATCATCAAATCGATATCAAATATGATATCACTTAGCCTTTGATTATTTCATTATTTAGTAAGGATTATTTCTTCCGAAATCTAGTCTTATTGTCAACTTATTTGTTCATCCATGGATTCTCCAATTTAACATCATCTGATCATGACATTTCAAATATTTCAAGAATATATTCAGTCACACAGAGGTCAGTTTCAAAACTGATAAATAAGTAAAAGTATAGGAACCCTCTGGCATTCACAAAATAAAAAGCCAAGAGCAATGACAGGAAGAATATTATTTTATTCTAATTACTTTCGATTCCCATTACAAAATCAGAATGCTTGACAAGCGTCCACAACATTTGAGAGATGAAGATGTCTTACTTGTAGCATTCTCTATCACCACCACCACGACCACCGCCTCCTCTGTTGCCACTTGGACAATCTCTAGCAAGATGGCCAGATTCACCACAGTTGTAACAGCTGCGATTATCACCACCACCACCGCCACCACCTCTGCCTCCACTGCGACCATTGGGGCAATCTCTTGAAATATGGTCTGGTTCACCACAGTTGTAGCATGTCTGGGGTTTCTTTTCCTTTGTGCAGTCACGGCTCATGTGACCTTGCTCACCACAGTTGTAGCAGGAACCTGAAACACATCAACAATAACTTGCATGAATACATAATGTTAGTATTAAAATGTTAGTATTAAACTGTCAATGTTAATATTAAACTGTCAATGTTAATTAAACTGTGGTTATAGGTTATAAAAGTAGAATGGGTAGAAAAGTAATGATGTTTGATGTAGTTGTAATTGTAGCTACATTTCCTAAAAATAACTTTACTTTTGAATGAGTGGTTCATCAAGCCGTACGATCCTTCTGAAATTCAACAATATAATCTTTTATCAACATAATTTGTGCCACACCCATATTCTTCCCAGTAAGTACCACAATAAGAGTCAACCAAAGGCATACAAGGTCAATTTTTGTCCTGAAAACTTGTAGATGATCTTGAAATATAATTAGGTCGATTCGAGGCAAGTTTTATACAAGGAAGTCATTTAACACTGTTCCAAAGCTTGATGACTCAACTGCAGTTAGCTTCATTCAAGATGGTTGCCGAGATTCTTTCGTTTTCAATAAACCCCTGATTTCAGATAAACTAAGTTGAATTTTGATTACAAAAGTTTCGCCATGCAAATTAATAAACTATAATTGTATTCACCACAAATGAATGCCCAAACACACAATTTTAGAGAAGTTTAAAGAAAACAGCTTCACTTAGAATGACTCTAACTGAAGTTGATGATCTACTTCACCATTATGTCATCACCAACTCATCTAAATGGAAGTCATTTACTTTGAAATTCTTCAATATCACAGTTGTTTGAGCACTTATTTGTGGTTATTTACAATGGTAGCTTTATTAATTTGCATGGCAAAACATTTGGATCCAGTTTCAACTTAGTTAAGCTGAAATCGGAGGTTTATAGAGAGCGAAAGAATTTCAGCAACCATCTTGAACTGCAGTTAAGACTCATCCAGCTGTGAAACAGTTGTTTAAGGTCAAACTTCAAATCTTAAGTTCTTGAACTTCTGAAAACGTGTACATAATTTTAAAAATGATCAATTTGAATCAAGACCTTTTTTGATCTTGAGAAGGTTATAGAAGGTGAATCTGAGAACTTCAAATCAAAGCCACTCGAAACGGTACTTGTTAAGTCATTGGAAGTTGTAACAATTTGTTATGTCACCAATTCTTCCGTAAAAACAGGTAAAGTGTTGTTAAAATCAACACCCGTGATATATAATAAGAGATTATTAAAAAAGAAAATTACAAATCCTTTAAGAAGCCTTATGCTCTTGAGGTATCAGCCTACAAACGAACTGACAGGCTTTTCTAAATCCCTTACAAACTATATTTGGTGGGATAACATGGATAATTACCTAATATGACCAAGGGGGCTGGGTACTTCAGTTTTGGTACAGTGCACAAAAACACATATATACTTATAGATGAAATGACTGGGAAGCAAAAACTGTTGCTAAGTTTAAAAATCAAACAATGAATAGACACTATGAAGATTGCTTTGAAAACAGTGTGCTCTTCTATTAAGTTTTTTTATTGGTTCCTTGTCAGATAAAATAAAGAAGTCGCACAAGAAAGGTCTTCCAAGATTTGTGATTAGATACTATTTTGAAGAAAAATACTCATTCCACAAAGACAGAATGTTGATGTACAATAGTTGATGAATTAGAAAAGGCATTAATATGACAAAATGTCACCACCTAGTTGCTCACAATATCATGAGTTCAATCTTAATCAGATTTAAACTTGTGAGAACTTGTAGATGATTTTGAAAAAAAAGTTCAATTTGAAATAAGTTGAAAAAAGACTTTTTTGACTCAACCTTGAGAAGGTCAAGTCTTATATCTAAAAATCAGATTTGAATTTCGGAGATCTTGTAAATGATTTTGGAAAAAAATTTGATCAATTTGAAGCAAGTTAAATAATTTTGTGACATTGAAAAGGTAATTCAAGGTCAAATCTGAAGTCAGATTTGAAATTCTGACAACACATAGACAACTTTTTAAAAATTGATCAATTCGAAGCTGAAAAAAGACTTTTTTGACCTTGAGAAGGTCATTGAAGGTCAAATCTCAATTTTTAACTTCTGAGAACTTGTAGAGGATGTTAAAAAAAAGTTTGGTCAATTAAAAGCAAGTTGAAGGACCTTTTTGACCTTGAGAATGTAATTAATTGAAGGTCAAATCTAGAGTAGAAGTTTTTAGAGCAAATGGTCAATTTGAAGCAAGTTGAAGAATGACAATTTAGACATTCTTTTTCCTTGAGAAGGTCATTGAAGGTCAAATCTCAAGTTAGTTTTGATCTTCTGAGAACTTGAAGATGATTTTGAAAAAAATTGAAGTCAGTCTAAACAGTCTTTAAGTTATTGGAAGTTTTGGGAATTTGTTTCATACGCCGGACACCAATTGCTACCTGCCAACCACCATCACAAAAAATGGAGATCATAACAATATGTCACCACTTTTGGTGGAGACATATAAATATATATAACATTGTACAGGTTATGACAGTAAATAAAACAAAAAAATATAGCAAACCCAAATAACAAGTTCCAAGCATTGGCTGGTCAGCGATTTGAGAGATTAATCAAGTTATTGCTAGGGTAAAAAACATGCCAGCTATCTTTCTCAAAATGAATGAATTGCTGGAGGATACATATGAAATATCAACGAAATTCCGCCTTGTAGTCATATGAGTGCAAATGGTAATAATTTAAAACCAGAACAACGGCAACGCCAAAGCGTAGCGAATCCCATCGAACAGAAATGGCTGGCACTTTTACTAACGAAATATATAGCAAATATCATAAAACATCACACCAGAAAGGCCACAATTTTCAAAATGGTTGCTCACTAGCCAAGTTGTCATCAGAAGAAATAATATGCTTTTAAGTAGCCACCTAAAAAAAATTTTTCAAAATGGCCGCCTTCTACCAAAAGTGTCATTAGACAGTATGCCATGCTTTTAGTATTCACATACCAAATTTAAACAAAATCGCTCCACTACTTTTCGAGTTATAGTAAAATATGTTAAAATGGCGGCCATTTTTCAAAATGGCCACCTTCTACCAAAAGTGTCATTAGACAGTGTGCCATGCTTATAGTATTCACATACCAAATATGAACAAAATCGCTCCAATACTTTTCGAGTTATAGTAAAATACGTTAAAATGGCCGCCATTTTTCAAAATGGCCGCCTTCTATCAAAAGTGTCTTTAGACAGTGTGCAATGTTTATAGTATTCACATACCAAATATGAACAAAATCGCTTCACTACTTTTCGAGTTACAGCAAAAATCGTAAAATAACTAGTAAAGGCCGCCATTTTTCAAGATGGCTGCCATGTGCTTTTTAATATCTACATTTGTAGCTTTATTAATGTCCCTTATAATTTTTTTACATTTAAAACATATTGCTATTACAGTTTTACATATTGCACCTAAATTACTGTAAAATCGGCACTAAAATGGCCGCCATTTTGAAATGAGCGGCCATTTTGAAAATCGGCCTTTAAGCAGAACTTCTACCCTCATAGGGTATATGTGTACAAAATATGAACAAAATCTGGCCAACGGTATTTGAGTTATTGCCCGGACGGACGGACGGACGGACGGACGGAGGCGTTCCCTATATCCCTCCGAACTTCGTTCGATGGGATTATTAAATACTGCCCAGATTCTATGTAAATACGAGGGCGGTTATATAAATATGGATACACATGCTCTAACTTTCTGAAGATATATGGATGAGTGTTCTCATGGCAGTTTTTTGAGCTATTCCAGACAGACTGACAAATGGAGAAGGTTCATTATCTAGAAAGCGAAACAGGTTAGTTTGAAAGTTTCCTTAAATTGCTGGAGAACAGCATAAAAGTTTCACCTTTCTATCATGACTAATGCCAAAGAATATTTTGATTTTGATATCTTAATTCAATAAAATTCTTTTTTACTTCTTGGTTATCAATTGCACCTAATTAGCTAAGCTGATGACGAGATGAAATGAAGAACTACATTTAAAGCTAATTAAGCTTTCTGAAAATGTTTAAGATGCAGTGTCTCTTAGGTTTCTCAAATAGACAATCAGTGATGCAATATTATAACTGCTTATATTATATCTTGCACAGCATTGCTGATGTGTATCACGAAAATAAACAGAACCAAGCAATTTGAACTTTCTACCATCAAAGGGAACACATATCACGAAACACAGGCATTGCCACACGACTTAAATCAAAGCAACCTATCAGATTCAGGGCAGTTTTTTTTTATTAATTTCTTTTTCAAATTTCAACAGCCAAATTAATTATTCATTTCTACAAACAATCATAAAATTGACACTTTAAAGATATTTGACACAGTTGCCAAATACAGGGTGACCCAAAAACAACAGAAACTTTTAAGACTAAAGATAGCAATAATTACTAAAAAATACCTCTACTATTTTTTATGCGCATAAACAAGAATCTATGGATTATAATATAACATTAAGGTAAAATTGGTTGAACACATAGTAATAAAAAAAATCAGATGACCAAAATTACTGACCCCTAAGCAAGAAGTTCTCAAATGCTAAATAAGAAATCCAATTGGAAATTTTTAAGAAATCATATTTGAGACGAGTAACACATGCAATAAAATATGATTCAAATTTTTATTTGGGTTAAAAAGTGAGAAAGAATGTAATTCAGAGATCTACAGACACTCATGTATGTTTTTAAAAATTCTTGATTAAAAATGTGGTGTACGGTTGATAATTCTATCAAAAAAGAATGAAATGTATAATGCAAACAACTCCATCTTTTATTGACATTGCTTAAAACTGAATTTTTAGCTCTCATGTGGTCTGTTTGAGTTATTTTGGTGTACAACGAAGTGCTTTAATAGCAGTCCATTGAAAATACTATGAAGATTCAAAGAATTCATTTTGCCAAAGAATACTGAAAATATATACAATGAGTTGGAATAGAAAGAAATGCTGGCACCTGAATGAAAAAATGATCAACTTAAAGGAATATTCCTTGCGAGACCATCTCTCTCCTAATATGGTAGCTACAACCATA